GAGGGCCAGAGAGCATTTTTCTGGGGGAGAACAGAGGCAAGAAGCTTGGGCCGATGTCCGTGAAGGTCTGAGAGGACCCTCAGGCTTCCTGGGGCCGTGGACCCCTCCCGGCGGGTGCCGGGGCCGCCCACCCTTGACCTGGTGTGGGCAGGCCCGCGGCCAGGGGGGTCCTGCCGGTCAAAGCAAGTGTCTGCAGTTTCTGCTTTTAGTCAGATGGCGCCTGTGACCCGAGATGAGGCCCTAACAAGACAGGGAAGCCTTGGGACATCAAATGTCTTCAGTCGAGTCTTCCCAAAGGGGTGCTGGGGGGCAGGGAGGGGGCGCCGCCAGTGAGGGTTTGAGCCCACAGTGGAAGATGCTGAGTGAGGGCAGGGCGGGGGCGGGCAGGCGCTGGGCCGGCAGAGGGCTGGGCCGGGGAGGCCCTAGTTCTCCTCCCTGGAGAGAGCCCCCTCCAGCCGGGGTCAGCCCGTCTGCAGCAGCGCCCGGCTCTGCTGGGGGCGAGCTTAGGAGCCGGAATTGCAGGAGGAGCGAGGGTGAGCCCGCTCCCGTCACGGGCACAGTTGCGTTTTCTCTTTCAAGACTTATTGGTGTGTGCCTGCAGAGCCGGGCACGGGCCAGAGGTGTGAGGGTGAGGCAGTCGCCAGAGGCGGCGTGGGGGCAGGACAGGCAGTGGACGAGGGTCACTGCTGAGGGGCAGCGGGGAGACGGAGGGGCCTGCCGCGCCCTGGGGTCCCTCCCTGGCCGGGGCTCGAGCTCCCACTGAAGCGGCCGCGGCCAGCTTGCTGTGCTGTGCCCCACCTCTTGCGCCACCAGGGAGGGCCCCAGAGTTGGCTTTTTCTTGAAACAAGCGGAGACATGAATGTTCGCCAGCTCTCCTGGCATGCGGGCTTGACGGGCAAGAGGACGGGGAGGCAGCCCTCAGGCCGCGCATCTTCGCACAGAAAAGGCCCCCAGAACCTTAAGTGAGCTGCTCCCAGCTGGGGCAGGAGCAGGGGCGCTGGGGAGGCCGCGGGGTGGGGGGTCAGCCAGGGGTGACCCGGAACTGTGCGTGCAGATCACTGTCTCCCCTGCCCAACTGGGCTCTGGCTTCAGCCCTCCTGGCTGGATGCCAAGAAAGGACTTGCTGTTCTTCCGGAAATGACCTTGCCCTGGACACAGGCGTGAGATGCGTTGTCCAGACTCCGTGTGGCCCCGCTAAAGCTCTGAAGAGAGTCCTGTAAAGTTAGAGCCTCCTGAGCATTTCTTCCATGTCCTCCCACGCCGCAGACCGGACGCCTGACACGGGATGGGCATTTTCTTTTCTACAGCGGATGTGGGCTCCTAGAGCCTTGGGACAGTAAGGCCCCCCCCGACCCGGCTGCCGCTGACCGCTGACCGCTGACCGCTGACTGCCGAGCGAGAGGAAGGGGCGACGCACTGAATGACCGGGATCCATGTGCCTGGTTAGCAGCCCGGCAGAGGTCCGCGGGAAGGTAAGCGGGGTGTGGGGCTGGAATCCCGGTCGCCGGTCCACCTCCTAGCACATCCCAACTCTGGGCAGCGGAGGCCCCAAGGCCCCAGGCGGCTGACAAGGGGACCCCAGCCGTTCTGGAGGGCTGGGCTTAAGTTAGGGTGCAGGAGCTGCCAGCGAATCCGTGTGCAGAGTGGTGACCAGAAGCTGCAAATGCAGCGTGGAAAGCCACGTAAAGGAACCTCAGAATCTGGCCAGCTGCTTCAGTGTGACATTTTAGACGGAAAGCAGACTGGCCCTGGCCCCCGCCCGGCCCGCCCCGGCCCGGCCTCTGGCTCCCAAACAAAGGGAGTTGTCTGGCCCCGGGCCAAGGGGTTTGCTCACAGATTCCGTGTGTGCTCGGGCATCCTGCAGGGTGTGCGTGGGGTGCATTAGGGGTGCACGTGGGGTGCACGTGGGGGTGCGGTTGTCGGCCCCTGCGCTTGCCTGCCCACGCTCGTTGGGCCGGGAAGCAGAAGTGACCCCCGTGGACAGCCCTCCCCGCAGCGACACACGCACCGACCGGCAGGAACTGACCGCCACCCTCCGGCATCCGGACGCTGTAACCTCAGGCCTCCCCGGCCCTCGCTGGCCCCCCCAAGCGCCCTCCTGACCGGGGTCACGCCACGGCAGCCACCCCCACTGCAGACCCAGCCGTCACCCCTGGGGCGCCGGGGTTCCTGCGTGTCATGGGCTAAGCCCTCCGCTCCCGGGCCTGGCTCTGCCCAGCGGGGACAGCCACCGCGTCCCCCGCAGAGAGCTGTGGGTGGGTGCCCGGTCTGTGCTGCCCGCACCACGTCCAGTCCGGGAGCCCGTCTGGCGTGGGCGGGCTGGGCACTGGGCGCAGTTATTCAGTCGCCGCTGCCCAGCGAGTCTCTGCCTGACTCCGCTCGTCCAGCTGCCCGGGTGCCTCTGCACCCCGAGCTGCTGCTCCCTCTTAGCCCCAAATCAAAGCCAGGCCTGCCAGCCCCAGGAGCCTGGTGCCTGCCCCACGGCCCAGCGCAGCCCCACCCCCGCGGCGGCGCCCTCGCCCGCTGTGACCTATACGCAGGCGTAGGAGGCGGGTATGAGGGGCGCCGGCGGGCACCTTCTGCCCTGCCCGCGGACAAGGCCGTGCAGCGGAGATGCTGTCCACGGGCAAAACGGAAGCAGACGGCGGGCTGCGCCGGGCGCCACACGTCGGGCGCGGCCCCACAGCTTCTGCCAGCTGAGCGTCCGCCGGCCGCCCTGGGCCTCGCAGCCGGCTCCTGCCCGACAGCCCGGCGGTGCGCGCCGGACACGCCCACCAGGACGCGCCAGCAGAGCCGTGGCTGCCCACGGATCAGACGGGGAAACCGAGGCTGGGGGGCGGCCGGGACGGAAGGGCCTTCGTCCGCTGGCGCCGTCACGGCAGCCGCAGGAATGTCTTGCGCGGGTTCTCGAAGTTGGGGAGTCCAAGATCTCAGTGCCTGCGGATTTGGGGTCGGGTCTGCTTTGGGGCCGTAGCCTGTGCCTTCTCAGTGCCCTCCGGTGAGGGGGGGCGGTAGAGCCCTGTCCCTCCCCCTCCGCCAGCCCCCTGTAGTCTCTGGCCGGCAGGGGTGCTCCCTCGGTGCCAGAGGTTTCCTGCGCGCGGGTCCTGCCCGGCGCCCCGGCCGCGCCCCAGCCTCCTGTTCCCGCCAGCCGCCGCGCCTTCCTCTCCCCTGACCTGTTGCGACCACCAACGGCCTCAGCTGCCCTCGGTCACAAAGGGGAAGAGCCGGCGGAGAAGGAAAGTCCAGGCGGCAGCAGATGCGGGGTGAATGTGTGACCGGTGACACCTCAGTGTCCTGCGACAGAGAGGCGCCACGGGGACCCTCAATGCCGGGGCTCCGCGGGAGAGGACGGGCGCTGTCCTGCCCTTTGGCCGAGGGCAGGGTCGGCGAGACAGGCGTCCGGCAGGAGTGGGCGCGCCGGCAGCCCTTGGGGCGGTGTGCTGTCATGCCTGACGTCTGACCGCCTCGCGGTCCGCGGCGGGACTGAACAATAGAGGTGCAGACGGCCGAGTGGCCGACCTGTTCGGTGTGATCGATGATGTCACAGACGGGCCAAATCTTAAGCGCTGTGATGTGCTGCTGCTGCCGCGCGAGTGGCCAGCCGAGCAGAGCCAACTCGGGGCCCCACCCTGCAAGGAAGTCCCCCTCGCTGCCCTTCTGCCCGCCGCCCTCAAGGCCTCCGCAGCTCCAGGTCCCACCACTGTCCCCTCGGTGAGTTTCAGCGCTTCTGGATCTAGCTGCACTTTGACCTCACCGGGGAGCTCCCCAACACACCGAAGGGCCTCCCTGGGGGCGCAGGGGTTAAAGTCTCCCTCTGTGGCAGCACCGAGCCCCAGCCCTCCCGGGCCAGGGAGGGACCCCAGGGCGCAGCAGACCTCGCCTGTCTCCCCGCTGCTCCCTCAGCAGTGTGCTTCAGTGGATCTGTGCTGCTCCCCACTGTCTCTGGGGGAGCCTCTCATGTCCCCCACACCCCTGGCCTGCAGCCAGGCCTTACACGAATAATAAAAAACAACAAACAAACAAGCACCCTGATCCCGGACTCCGGCTCAAGGACTGTGGTTCCGTTACCGTGGAATGGGCCTGATGGCAGGTGCTTCCTCAAACCCTCCCGAGGATGCTGCCGTCCGGCCAGGGGGTCTCACCACGGTGCCCAGTCAGTGCTCCCGAGCTCGCGAGCCCCTGCAGACTCAGTGTTCCCCGGGGTACTGCACTCGTGCCTGGCGGGTGGCGGACGTGGGTGAGAGCGGTCAGGCCTTCTGTTGTGCAAGAACCAGCGGCCCTAGCCGGCGAGGTGCCGTCTGCGCGGACGGCCTTTCCGCCGGCCCCGGGGCCGGACGTCCGCAGACGCGTGCTTAGGGCCGGCACCTCCCGCGTGCTTGGCTGCTCCCGGTTGCATGGGCCCCTGGTTTATCTCTCCATCAGCTGATGGACTTTGGTCGTTTCCGACCGCTGGAGACGAATACTGCTGCCAGGAGGGTCCGTGTGTAGCCTTTGTGCGAACATGTGTTTGCAGCTGTCTGGCCTGTAGCTGGGGCTGTGGCGTCCTGGGGTGCCGGGACGGCCGAGGCACTGCCAGGCTGCCTTCCGCGCCCGCTCTGCCCGCCCCTGCAGCGCGGGGTCCCAGCCTCTCTGCCGCCTCTCCGACACCTGTCTTTCCACGTCCGGGTGGGTGTGCGAGGTGCCGCTCAGCGCTTCCCTGATGATTCATGAGGTGGAACAACTTTTGGGGGGCTTATGGGCCATTTGGGGACCTTTGGAGAAGCACCTATCCCAATCCTTTGCCCTCTTTAGGATCACTTGCCCTTTGGTGCCTTATTTCGCACTCTTGCCCGCCCTGGCCAGAGGAGATGTGTGGACAGCCTGGCGCGGGGCTGCCCGGCTGCCCGCGGAAGCTCCGGGTTCTGCTTCCAGGGCGGAGGAGGGCCGCCCGGCCTTTGCCTGAGTCCTGGAGAACTCTGAAGGCGCCTTTGAAAAAACTTTGTTGACTTTTCCGCTTGAGGATGCGGCAGCTCCTGCCTGCGGCCGGTTTCTGCCGAGTGAAGTCCCACCCGGTCCCGGAGTCCTCGGCCTTCCCTTTCCCCAGGGCTCGCCTGGAGCTCTGTGGCTGGCACCAGGTCCCCTCCCGCTCGCCGCGCCTGCCCGGACCTGCCCCAGCCCGGCAGCGCCTTAGTCATTCGGTTCTCGCCCCTCCGGGGCGCGGGGGCGCGCTGCTGGCTTTCGCGGCATTTGTCTTGGTACGACCCGGTGCGCACCTCAGTCTAACACGAAGGGCACCCCGCCACTCCCGGGCCCTGGCTCCGCCGTCGGGCCGCCTGAGGCCCCGAGGTCGGGCGCCGGGAGCCCCGGGTTCCCG